GAGTCATATTGATTGATGAGGCCAAACTAACACCTGGAACATATTTTGATACATCCTTTCTGAAAGTTGGTGGGTTTAAAGATATGGGAGAGGAAACTAAGGAAGCTTTGGGAGAAGATTTCAGAGAGGAAGTAGAAGAGGCCCTGGCCAAACTACCAGAAGATCCCAAAGCCCAACAGAAGCAGAAGAGAAGGGAGAAGTCACAAGAGAAAAATGAGCATAAAAGGGATAAAAATCTTGGAGATCATTCACTTGTAATTACCTTTCAGCCATTTAGTGGCAAATGGGTCCAGCCAATCGCCTGCTTTTTGTCAAAGGGAAATGCAAATGCTGATGAGTTGACAAAATTAGTTTTGGAAGCCACAATTCTCCTGGAGAAGTGTAATCTTCTTGTTGATGCAGTGGTCACAGACGGGGCTTCTTGGAATCGATCAATGTGGACTAAGTTTGGTGTCACCGAAGAGAACCCTAGTGCTGAACATCCCTGTGACCACACCCGGAGATTGTGGTTCATTTCAGACTTCCCTCATTTACTGAAATGTATGCGGAATTGTCTGGTCAATAACAAAATAATAATGGTGAGAAAAATAGAGAACTTATTATCAAATACACTACTTTATATCCTTTATATCAAGATAAATTTGATAATTGTTATATTACTGTTTGAAAACAGTACATTTTGCTATGATAGTATACATCAAATACTGTAAATCAACAACATAAATTTTAACAGTGTATGACTCTTCTCTTACCAGACACCTGATGGAGACATCAAGCTGGATCATTGGCAAGCCATTATTGATGCAAATAAATTGAAGCAGCTTGGAATCCGGGCAGCTCATAAGTTGACTCAAGACCACCTGAATCCAAATCCGTGGCAAAAGATGAATTGCAGAATGGCTTGGGAGGTAACTGTAACAAACCAAAACTAATGCAAGTTTTCTAAAAAGAAAAAGGGTAAAAAAACATGGATTGTGTCTTTTTCAGTTTTGGAGCAGATCAGCAGCTGCAACTATGGAATGCCTACGCTTTCAGGGGTATGATAAGGTGGATGACTGTTCGGGCACAATTAAATGGTGTCAATTAATCAATGACCTGGCAGATGCCATGAATGCCAACAGGCCTGACAATGCAGTGACCTTAGAGTCAGCTGCTTACAAGGTATGTTTTCCAAGTTCACTTGCAATACCCTCCAAAAAAATTAAAAAATTAATATGCAATGCACTTTTTGTTTCAGAAAATTGGAGAGTTTTTGGAGGAATTCAAAAAACTAAAAGAATGGCGGAACCAGAAGTTAAGAAAGAAACTTGAACTTGCAGAGATATCAAGAATAGCTCAACTTAGGAAGCAAGGGAAAAATCCAAGGGGAAAAAAAGAGACGTACTTTGAACAACAAGACTGGATTTTCTCAGAATCTACAGATGTTGGACTCCTAGTATCATTGAAAGCCGCCCAAGAAATTATCAAGTTCCTAAGAGAAAAGAATGGCTTCCTTTATGTGATGACTGCTCGTCTAAATCAGGATGCTCTAGAGGTGAGTGCTCCAGCATTTTTAAAAAACAAACTACAAAAATTTGTCCCTTGATTTAAGCAATAAAATATTTTTTTAGAGATTCTTTGGCCTTATGAGGCAATCTTGTGGTAGAAATACTCACCCTGAACCCAGAGTGTTTGCCCAACTTTTCCGCTTGCTCTCCATCTACTCATTGGTGAAGCCAATACGGGGGAGCAACATTACAGGGGGAGGTATGGTGGAAACTTTATTGAACCTGGAAGACCTACAAAAACAAACAAAAGCAGAGAGGCATCAAAAATTATTAGATAAACTGGATGAGATTATCTCAAATGGTGGGTACTCCAAAGCATAAAAAGAAAATAATTTAAATTTAAACACATTAATTTTTGAAATTGTTTTTCAAGGTGAAAATTTGGAAGCTATACCAGATGTTCTAGAGCATGTTGACCATGCATACCTCAATGAGTGTGTGGATGAATTTGCCCTACGGTATGTGAGTGGCTACATGGCAAGGTATGCAAAAAAGTATACAGATGAATGTCCAGAGTGCCTTGCAAGCCTTCGAAAATTACCATCAGAGCAAACTGACCTTGATCTGCTCATTACGCACAGAAGCAAGGGTGGTCTTACATACCCATCTGACAAGTTGGTTGAGCTCCTGGGTATCATGGAAAAGAAGATCATTGATGTGAGCCTGAACAATGAGCTGGAACAGAATATCCTCTTTGCTGTGCTGGATGAACTGTCAGATGTTAAAGTGGAAAAAGTTGGCTGTTTATTTCATGAAGATGAACTTACAAAAGCTATAATGAAATCATACTTAATTATGCGTATGCATTTTCTCACTAAGAGGTGGAATGAAAAAAACAAAGAAATAAGAAGTCAATCAAAGGGTTTAAGAAAACAGGCATGTTTGCAATAATTAAATGTTATTACCTGTACAGCATTTTGACTGCATTTTGGATTCTATTTTATCTAT